TTGAATAAGTTATGAATTCTATTATGCTACAGCATAAATCATCACCACCGGTTACCACAAACCGGCGGTACAAATGGGTCAACCATCACTACCGGTTGGTAACACAAACCGGCTGTAATGATATGTTTATCACCGTTGGTTCGTGTTACCAGCCGGCGGTGATAACCGCCCAAATTTTCACCAATGGTTTATAACACGAACCGACGGTGAAAATTATTTCACCAACGGTTCATAATACGAACCGGCGGTGATGAGTATCACCGCTGGTTTTTAGCAAACCTGCGGTGAAAGTGGCAGCGGTGATTACTCGTTATGTAGTAGTGTTCTTCGCTCGCTGACGGGCAGCGCTGCGGCCTCGTCTCCTCCCCGCGTCCTGCGGCATCTTCGGATCCGACGATCGGCGACTGACGTCAAGCCTCCTCTCCTTCGGTCGCGCCACCAGCACCTCCCTAGAGCTTGGGGCTGCCGTCGCCCCTAGACGCCCGACCAGCGTCGAAAGCCCGCCGACCCGACCGGCCGACTCCATCTTCAACAACGCCACATGACCCCGCAGTGGCTGCCTCTGCACCGTTGTCGTCCCTCTCAGCTCCGCCTACTGCCGCCACCGACCGGGATCCACTGCCGTGCCCACTCATTACGGTGTTCTCATCCTAGCACCTCGTCAGACCGCTTTGTCTCCACAGGTCCTCCCTTGCGTGGATTTGTCTCATCATTCATCGTCATGAGCTCAGCCTCGTGCCGACGCGGTCATGCCGTCATCCCCGCAGCTACAGTGTTGAATCAAAACAGGGCCATGACTCCTCTACTGCTGTCTACAAGCGCCACCGTGGAGAAGTCTGTGGATCAAAAGAGTTGCTTGTGTCGCAACGACCTTCGATCATCGCCACCGCCACGTGCTCCAGAGTTAGAGCGGAGCATCGCCTTCAAGAGATGCGCTCGAGACAGATGTTATCGCTGCCTCGCACGAGATCACCAAGTCAGCTCCTGCATAGATTCTTTTTGATGCATTCGATGTCGCCACCTAGGACATAGGGAGCGGCACTACCATCTTTGCTCCACCTCTTCTACTCCATGGGTCAACTCCTCTTCGATGCATCCTTACCATCCTCAACAGATGAAGAGTTGGGCTGACGTCGTAGCCATGCCTTCGCCGAGCACTGTGGCTCAGTCCACAGTCATGACTCTAACTGAGTCTTTGCGATCGGAGATCCAACAGTTGATTTTAGATTGTTATCAGAGCTCCAACAGTTGATTGTAGATCATTTGGAGGAAGTGTTGCGTCCCCTGAGGGAGGAGACTTCTACTATCAAGTTGTGGCTGGCACGTTTGGCCAACCATTTGGAGTTTGCAGAGCCACATGGAGACCATACTTCTTTTTCCAACATGCCTGAGCTCTTTGGCCTATGTTCTCCAGCTCGTCGCTTGCCAACACCGTCAATCCTCACTTCTCTTGTGTTGGCATGTATGCCTTCCGACTCCTTGGCGCCTGAGGAGACAGTGAGCACAACAATCCCTATCACCGATGAGGTGGCCACAAGGACGATTGACACAGAGATTCACCAAAAGATGCCCATGGAGCAAGTCGCTGAGGGGCCTTTAGTGATGTTGTCAACCCTTGCTTCTCTTGTGGAGACTTGCACGCCTACTGACTTCTTCAGTGAAGATTCTCTCAATGACGAGATGGCCTTAGAGAAGGTTGTTGCAGTGCCCTCGAGGACCTCGTTGCTACAGACCATCTCACTTGTTGAGGATATTGTTGTGGTGGAGGATGCGTCCGATGATGAAGAAGTTGTCTCACAAGTGACAATTGAGAACCCCATCTTTCTCATCACCATTGAAAACAACCCTATGCACTCTATGACCGAGGTCAAGGAAGAAGTCATCACCATTGGAGACGGCCCTTTGCATTCTACGACTGAGGTCAATGAAGATAGAGGATCCATCAATTACTGTAGCATCTTCTTCGAAGGCAACAGCTATGGAGGAGAACGATCTGACATGTACTCATATACGCCCACCTTCACCATTGGTTACAACTGCAAGATGCCGACGCAAGTCCTATGATAGATCTTCGCTTCGTCGAAGTGGCCGCATTGCAAAACGCAATGTGTTAAAGGATTTGGGCATTGTTGGGAAGGATGGGAAGATCAATGATGATGCAATGCAAGAAATTGTGGTTTGCCTTAAGGAATTGTTGCCACCAGATCTCCTCAAGCCACTGATGAGTTTAAAAGGTCGTGCCTTTTGGGACTTTGTGGCAGAGGCCTCTTTGCCACTTCGTTAGGGGTCTTGAACCACGGCGCAAAGTGCGACTTTAGTGTCCTGATGACAACTGTTGTCCGAGTGATGTGTGTCTCTTGGCTACCTATTGTGGAGGAGTTTGTGGAGGAACGGATCTTTGGTGTACAATAGTGTTGTTTTTTTTTTTTGAGGAATCAAGAGGAGCAAGAAGCTCCTACTGCAAATTATAATAAATAAAAAAGACATACAAAGAATTCACAAAGAGAGATTACAGAGAGAAAAAGGGAAGAGGGGGTTCAGGAAACAAAGAAAGAGAGGAAGAAGATCAAGTAAATTACAAATGAGACTGAATCCAGATTCTAAGAGAGGGGTGATCCTTGCTTTTGTCCTGTGTAGCAGCATAAGTGCTTCAGCCGTGAGGTTCCTCTTACAACCATCAACTGAAGCAACCTTGTTTCTGAAGATAACATCATTCCTCACCATCCAGATAGACCAGCATACAAGAATAAAGATGTCTAAAGCAAAGGGAGCAGACACATAGTTTCTCCAAGCCTCAACGATCTGGAAGATTGAGAGGTTGCCTGCATATGCAAAGTTCAGAGCCCACCAGCAATTCTTGGCAAAGTTGCAGTAGAAGAGTAGGTGCATTAGTGTTTCTTCTGTTTGCTGTTGACAGAGAACACAATTGTAATCATCTAGTTGCTTTGTTCTCCTTCTCATCACGTTTCTTGTACTTTTCCTATCTTTCATTACTAACCAAAAGAAGACTTTGTGTTTACTTTGGCAAGAAGTTTTCCAAAGCCTTTTGAAGGTGGGGTCAACTTGGGTGTGTCCTGTGAGCAGTTTGTAGGCTTTGGAGGAAAAGAATTGTGAGGATCCCGATATATAAGTCCAACTGTCATTCATGGGAGTGAGGGTTATTGAAGAGAATAGTATTGTTTTAGTTGTTTCGGTTGCTTTAGTTGTGTGGTTGTTGTTTTGTTATGTTGTTTCATTGTACTACCTAGTCTGGGACTCTTCTTTTTAATATAATCGGTAGGTTTCCTGTCTGATTCGTTAAAAAAAAGATAGAAAACTTGATTTTTTTTAATCAACACGTTAGTAAAGCGAGTTATCCAATTAGTAGCTCGAAGGAGTAGACCACATAAGGGTATGAGCTGTAGCAATTTGCCGGATTGCACTGCACATAATTTACTCGACATTTGAGGTTTTGTCCTGATGAATTAGCCGGTGAATGTGGTTGTTCTTAGAGCAAGATTATGTTGGTTGAATTCTTACTCATTGACGAGGTAGCGGGTGGGATCATACGATTTAATGGAAGGCAGCAGGCTGTATCATTGCACTTGCTCTTACTCATTGACGAGGTAGGGGATCATACGAGGTAGCAAGAACGGCTTTTGCAGGTACCAGCCCGTTTCAAGGTAGTGGTGCAGTTCAAATTGTGAAGAACTACGAACCTTTTTTTTATTTATTTCCGTGGGTACGCAACCATGTCGTCTTCTGTGGCAGCCCCACAGCCTGTGACTTCTGACTGCAAATTTCATCAGGGTTGAACTCTTCAATTGGCAGCCCATGAGTCAGTAGTGTACATATTTTTATGCAAGATGGACAGAGTCAAATAATTGTGGAGTCAAACTTTGCAGGGCTGGCAAAGATCCTCAAGAAGTACGACAAGCGCACCGGGCGGCTCCTGCGGCTGCCCTTCATCGAGAAGGTGCTCGGGCAGCCCTTCTTCGCCACGGAGCTCATCTCCAGGCTCGTCCGCGAGTGCGAGGCCACCATGGAGGCCGTGTTCGAGGCCAGCAGAGGCCATGCAGGCGCGTCGGCAGGGACGGCCCCCGTGGCCGCAGTGGCAGCCGCCGAGCAGGGCATCTTCCGGAACACCGTGGCCGCGCTGGTGACCATGGGCGAGCTCCGCAGCGGGAGCTCCACGTACGGCCACTTCTCGCTGCCACCGATGGCCCCACCGGAGTCCGACCTCCTGCGGTGCGGGTGCGTCCAGGTTGCCGCCGGTCCAGTGTCCATCTGACTATCTCAGAGATTTTTTGATGTACTCTCCGACGGACAGTTACTGGTGCTAGATTGTCATACGAGATGAGAAATGCAGGTGCCTATCGTATAGTAGCTCAGCGTGCAGACATGTAGGCTTTCGTTTCCTAAATACAAATTTACAGCACTTCCACTAATTTGTGAAAAAGCCTTAAAATTCTGTCAAATTCCCTTCTTTTTTTCTTTCTCAGCATCTACGCAGTTGAATCAACAAAAAAGTATGAAATGAGCAATATCATATACAGTAGTATATAGAAAGAAAAATGGCTCAGCAAATTCCATCAGTGTGCATACTAACACTTCATACATATCGAACAGCTTGCTGGAATTTATAACAGACAAAATTTCGACTAGCCAAGGCCCAGATTAACCTATGGCCAGATAAGAAACAGCCACCCTCTACACCACCAGTCTAACCATATATTTGAACCACTCCTATAGTAAAACAATTCTTCCATGACATCACGCCCCATTCCCTCGACAGTTTACACCCAAAATGCCGCAATGGTTACAACAGGCGCGAGAATGCTTGCATCGATTCCCTGCAGTTTGACAGTAACTGGACCCACAAACAGGTGATTCCACTGAAGACAGCAACATCGCTCTACAGGCAACAGAGCATGATGTGTACAAGAACACTTGGATTCCAACAAGATTGCAAATCCTACCATCAGAACACCAAGCAGGCTTTGCAGTGCTTTTGTCTTCTTTCAAGATGTTGCCTTCCGTCTCACTACCAGATCATCAGCTGAGTAATACTCAGCAATAAGCCGATACATATAAGATGGACTGTGGCCCCCACTGCCAGGCAAAGACAACTATATTAAGAAAACGAACTGAATGTGCCGATACATATAAGATGGACTGTGGCCCCCACTGCCAGGCAAAGACAACTATATTAAGAAAACGAACTGAATGATTTGAATGTAGGTGCATGAAGTCTATGGATATGATAATAATGTATGTCCAGGTGAGGTAGGAAACCAAAGGTATCCTAAAGTTACTCACAATTCTTAATCAGAAGTTCAGATACATGCAATTATGCAAACTCTAAGAAAAGAAATTGATTAGGCCGATATAGTTCTCTCATAAGGAAACTTGCATGGAACGAGCACACCAGGCACTAAAAAACTGCTGAAGCATGCAGCACCAAGTACATATAACTATTCTCTTCTATTACCAGATCACAGAAAATGCTGAGAACTTACGTGTCAGTGATGAATAGGCTCACAAGCTTCGGTGGCACATAGTCAAATGTTGGGTTGACAACATTTAGCAAGGGGCTGCCATCCTGAGTACTGAAATTCATGCAATCTGAGAACTCGCCAAAATCGAGCAAATCAGACGGCGATTTGAGTTCATTCAGTAACACTTCTGGGTTGTGTGGATACAATGGACACAGCTGCACATGAGGAAGAGGGCAATTAAAATGGAAGCTTTAGAAACATTCTACTTCAAATCCATCTGATACCTTTGGGTTGTATGGGCATTCAAAAATTGTGATTTGTGAATGCCACCTATTTCCATTATTCTTTACTCATGGTTCTCAAATGTGTGCAGTCAATATTAAAAAACTGACCCCTACTATACACACAAGTATTTAGACTTCTAGGAAAGAAAACTACTAGCAGGTTTTTCATCAAAAGTACTTTGATGTCAATAAACATTTGCTAACTTTTTGCCAACGAATAATTGAAAAGATAATGGCCAAAAATGTGAATTGGAGTATGGAGGGAGCATTAATTAAGAAATTACGAAATTTTATAAGGTGATAAATACTTCACTTGAGCACTTAAGTGACACCTTGCAAGTAAATAGTGCTCTTAATGAGAGGCCTCAGAATTAATCCTGTTTGCACACTGACAGGATTATCCGATTTTCCTACTTGATGCTAAAAAAGAAACGATAACAGTGAATGCACTTTATGATATATACCTATGCTACTCTGTATATCAGGCGTCTAGTTAAGCATGACACCTGTGGAAAATGGAAGAATTAAAGAGATTTCCTAGTAGAATATCTGTAGATAACATTACATTGCAGAAAGCCAGAAATAAGAAAACATTAGGTTAAGATACTGTTGGGGATTTAACTTCACCAAGAAAACTCAGCCCCTGAAACTTCAGAGTTGAAATTTTGATTTCTATAACAAAGTTTACTTGAAGGAAAAAGAAACAAAGCGAAGATGGAAATTTGACTTCGTCAGAAAGATTTCGTCTTTGCTGAAGAGACCTCGTCTTTGCTGAAGAAAAGAAGAAAACAAGATTGGGCGAAGACAAGGATTTGACTTCGCTTAACATTTTTCGAAGACAGAAGAAGACAGTGAAAATCGACTAAGTCCAAAAAGACGAAGACATCAAGAAGATTGATGACCAAAATTTGAAGAATGAAGGCTCAGAAAGAGAAAAAGACCACTTCGCCCTTGTAGTTGAAAAGGGTTGTAATTATTTGAATTAGGGGTAAAATAGTCATTTTATGTAAAGTACAAAGACTAGGGCCCCTATAAATACCCCCTCTGACATGTACAGTACGAGCAGGAAATGAATACACTTTGCCTTGTGTTCAGACTTTGATGCTTGTGTGATTATTTTACCCAACAGATACTATGATGGTATCATCACAATATGAAATTTGACAGCATCCTCATAAGTGCTTGCAAGTCCACTTTTTCTTCATTAAATAAGGACAATGTAACAAGTGGGCTAATTGCAGGAGAATGCACCATCGATGTATTGAACATCAAATTAAATTATGGACACATGTATACATTAGAAATAACAGTAAAATGTAGATGTAGACCCTGATTCTTATTTGGCTACTTAGGTTGCAAAATTTTGGGGGTAATGTGCAGAAATCAACCTTGTGGCTACCAGCAACCACAACAAAAGGCACAGCATGCCTTTGAGCAGCAAGAGCAACCATGTTCATGCCTACTGGTGCAATGACTCCACCATTTGCCATGATAGCATGCGCTCCAACTATGACCTTCAAATAAAATCAGGATTGGAATTATAATGGAAAGAAAGAATTTGCGAATTAACAATGACTACACACATACCATGTTAACTCGAGAGATCATAGCAAAAACTGCTGAATCTGTTATAACTGTAGTTTGTACACCTTTCTCAACCAGCTCTTTTGCGAGAACATGGCCCTGATATCTGATTCCAACATAAACATTGTGACACTGTGTCAGGCAAGAGTATACTGTGCACAAGAAACAATTAGGTTACAATAAAGTTCAAATAATGCACAAACCTTGGAGCACCTTCAGCAACAAATACACGAAAAGATCGCTTCTTCTCTTTTGCAGCATACAGGAACTCCTTGACAGTTCTAGAACGACCTAGAGTTAGGATTACCTCACTGTGGCAAATGATAAACAATTAGTGTGTCAGTAAGCAAGCAATATATTTCAGCTGGTACTGAGGTACCCATATTCTATAGAGAACCTCCATATCTAAATATATAATTAACAGAGTAATTAAGACTCACACCATTGTGTTTCAGATACTGGTCAATCTTTTAATGCTTACATATCGAAAGGCAAATGTTTCTTAGGCACATTACTCTAGAGCAAAATGCAAAGGCTGTTGCAATGGGTTACTTATATGAAAAATAAAGTTTTCTTTGCATCAGAATATAAATAAATTATTGAGAAACTTAGCTTATTGCATGAAATAACTTTTCTTTTAATAACTTGATGCAGTATTTTTACCAATGCCTTTTCTAGATGTAACAGTAATTTACAAGATAAGCCATATGGACACATTCCCATGGCCCATTTTAAATTTTCATAACTTGACTAACAAGTTTGAAACAACTGAAAGACACCAGTATTTGCTGTTTCAGACGTGCTGTAGGATATATGTATTAAATATATCCAGAATACCTACCATATGCATCAGTTCAACATTGTATACCGCCATTGAAGCAGCTTAAATAAAAAAGGCAGTTGATACTAGCTTAAAGCAATACTGATGTATCTTAGCCAAAGCAAAGTTCATACTTTTGGTGAATAAGTTCCACAGCTTGCTCAGAAATTGGCTCATAGCATGAGTCAATCTCATCAATAAGATCACCAATGGCTGCGATGACATCATGCTTCAGTTTCCTAGTCGAGCTCTTATCTCCAGCTGCTATAGTAGAACAAACATGACTTCAGTGCCAATAATGACGTAAAAAGGCATAAAACCCCTACAAGGTTAACATAAATGACTCTGGTAATATTATTCTTAAAACATGTTTCTCCAAATTATACAGAAAGAACAAAGACTACCAGTTCAGGTGGAATATTTAGTAGTGAAAGAGAACACTATGGCAACAAGCAGGAAATAACTGATGCGAACATACATTTACTTTTTCCGTCTGAGTCACCAGTTGATGATGCAGTGCGGGAAATTGCAGGACTCACAGGAATGTCTTCTAGCAGAGTCTGCAATGAAGGTGCACGAAGGGCATTTCTAGCATGTGCAGCAAGAACAGCAGCAGATAATGCAGGGCGATCATCATGTTCACTGTCATATTCACCATCACTGTCAACCGTAACAGAAAGACCTTCGATACCAACTGCTGTGGAAGATATATCCTCCTCCTTTATTATATGCAAAACACGTCTCACAATGTTTCCAACAGCCAGCTCTGCAAAAAATAAAGAATCCACATTTACCTTAATATATACAAAAATATAGGTAGGGGACTCCCCTGCCGACGATTTAAAAAAAACGAAGGGATAGGTAAGGTAAAAAAAACGAAGGGATAGGTAAGGTATCCTGTCTATTACTGCTATATATTGCCCACTTACAGGAGGCTGAATTAAAAGCGTCACCCTCGAATAAAGCTACAAACATGCTGTGATGACAGCATCTTTATTATCTGACATCCAAGCAGCATACAGCTACTAGATTACTCAACTAACTTCCTGATTGGCACCTAATTACCAAAAACAATTGCATTGTAACACCCTCCAACTTGAAAGGTGGTAGCATTTTTGCTCCCTAAACATGCAAACCCTTTGCAGGAGATCAATTGAGATAAAGACAATATGTTGACAACTTCAAGTGTTTCAGCCTCTTGGCACTTCTCTTCATAGTTGATAAGTCAAACTTAGCCCCTGTCGTCACCATGCTTCACCATCCTATCAACGCTACCAGACTCAGGCTTGAAATTGTCATCATAGGTTACAACATTCTTGGAGATTATATATTACATGTTCAATAACTCTTCTTCCCACTTGCAGCCTGTGCCTACTGTTCACATTCTGCATGTCCATTTCTGGTGCTATGAGATAAACTTTTCGCGTCACATCTCCAGGTCAGCAAGCTTATCCTAGAGACGCTTCAATTCAGTTATCACCTCAAGCAAGCAACATCAAGTTGTCACAAATGGAAGTGTGCCTCTTCAGCTGAGCCAATAGGCTTCACCTCCAAAGCAGCAAGGGTTAACTCACTCTAAATGCTCCACCAAGGCCTTCAAATGGGATTTCGACTTCTTCAAAATAGTATGATGTAGCACTTTATAGCCATTGGCTCATGCAATCAAGGTGTGTTTAATCCGATCAATGACTTTGATCTTTTCAAGTGGATTCTTCCTTATCAGATCCTATATTGTTTCCAAATCTCCATACACCTTTGACCTTCCTTGCCTGAAATCCATATTTCCTATACTGTTTCATGAGAAGTATCAGGCTAGGGCTGTGTAAGGAAATTTGGTAGCAAATTAATATCTTATGAGAAATAATCCTCTCATCCACTCATTAAGATCAAATTCATTAATAAGATTAAATAGATCTTGGATAAGTGGGCCAATGGCTATAAGGTGTTGAATCTGAATGGTATAGATAATTTGATGTCCCATTTGAAGGCCTTGGCAGGAAATTTAGAGAACTAGTAAACTCAAGTAGGTGTTGACAAGACTTATTGACTCAACTGAAGAAGACGGATAATGCTATTTGCAGTGTTTGCCTCCTCCAAGATGGTAGACAGATTTAAGCTAATCAAGGATGGGCACAATGAGATATGGCGATACAAAATAATCTCCCAGCAAAAGAAATTGACAGAGTAGGTGGCAAGAAAGTGGGTAGAAGAGTTCAAGGGCCTTGGGAGATAACCCCATGTTCACAGGAATTTTGTGATACATGAGATAATGTCAATCACAATTTGGCATGGTGATGACACAAGGAACCAAGTGAAACATATCAGCTAGGCGAAGAAATGGCAAGAAACTGAAATTCGGCAATATGTTGCCTGATTCATATTTGTCTAATCTCAATTCAACTGGTGTGCAAGGTTAGTCCATTCGAGGATGAGGAGTCAACAGTGATAGGATCAGGTCCATGCAGTATCTATCTCCGCGGGAAGTTGATCTTTTTACTTCAGTCTTTCTTTGGCATAATATAAGGGCTCCTTTGTTGTGGGTCTCTCCAAGATTATTTCCAGGAACTTCAGATGTAGTTGGGGCATCATCATCTATGCACCATTCAATTAGATGAGTATTTGGCAATGGCATTGCATTTATTCCACTCGGCATGTGAGAGCAAGAAGGGATCAGATAGTTCATTTATCAATTGTATACTGTGCCATTTAAACTATGTTACTCATAAACTTGATCAGATAACCATCATTTAAAAATATTACAAAACTAGTCTCCAACAACAAGGCTCAAACAACCTATATTCGCTCAGCTTTACCAGTAGTACATGTCCTCACAATCCAGAACCTACTTGTTATCACTAATTACACTCAAGTGCAAACAGTGTCATCAGAGCTTGAGACTAAACAAAATATAATGACCTACCCAGGTAAACATGTAACAGATCAAACATGAGAAAAATGAAAAGCTTCATACTGTTTCTCTTAAATTATGCAATACACCTACAGGTTAACTCTTGGTCACAAAACACAAAGTTCAATAGCAATGTACTGCAGCCCACTATTGAATGTGGTATCTCCAAGGTCAAAATCTGAGAACGCACATCAAAGCCAAGATCCATGCCATTCAAGCCATCAAATCTAATACAAATACATAGGTATTTCCTCCATTCCAAATTGTAAGTCGTTTTGGCTTTTCTATATAAGTAGTTTTTGCTATGTATCCAGACATAGTGTATATCTAGATGCGTAGCAGGAGGTATGTACCTAGAAAAGCCAGAACGACTTACAATTTGGAATGGAGGGAGTACAATAATAAGTAATGGCAGCAGATGGCAATACTCATCTACAATCATGAGCAGCTGGGGTGGCAGTCTAAGAGCTACAGTTGAGAGCGAAATAAATTCAATAACAGCAAATATAACATAAGTTTGATAAAGCGAATGGAACTTTGAACATGAAGGTTCAGTTGTGATTTGGGGACAGACACAGAGGGCAGTAATATTATTGCAACAAGGGTATCACTGAGCATGACTTTGATGGGAGTCTGGTTTGGAAAGAGAATTTCGAACATGCCAAATACCACTTGGAAACCAACACAGTAATCAGGTCACCCTGACAGAATTCTGACATAAAAAGAAAAGTAAAAGCGAAAATTACAAATCAGGCACAGTGCATGGACATTAACATTGTACAAAGCTAATAAAATATAGCTGCAATACAGAGAATTTGCCATCCCTTTAGTCTTGGAGGACTTAATTAAGGAGATATGCTTAAGAAAGCACACAATGAGCAAACTACAACAGGATAGCATGACACCACAATGAAACAAAGGTTGGAGCATTTACCGATGGGATTGGCAGCGATGAGCTGCTCCCCCACAGCGCGTACGGCATCGGCAAGCGCGGCCGCCTGGTTGGCGCTGCTACCCATCCGATGCTGCGACACAACCGACCGTAGCAGCTCCGCTGTCTGCCGGGCCACCGCGTGCGACCCCTCCACCTTCCTGCCCACCCAACACAGACACGCAACGGCATAAGCACACCAGAGCAACGGCGATTGAATCGGACGGGAGGGACGGGGAGAGGGAGCAGCTTACCGGCGCTTGAGCTTGAGGACGAAGTCGCTGACGAGCGGCTGCACGTCCGGCATGGCGAGAGCGCTGTGGGGACGCCGAGGGCCGGAGGGGTTCGGAATTGGGGTCGGATCGGCGGCGAGAGGAGGCTGAGAGGGTTAGGGTTTTCCGCCAAGGAGGAGGTGGAGAACTAACACTGAAGAAGGCGCGTGATTTTACGAATTTAGAATTCGGTCCTCGGGATGCTTTTGTGTGGAGCAAGAGAATCGATTTGGATTTATTTTTTTAGTCGACTGGATTCTTGCCGAAATTTGCAACACTGAACGTGCAGTCGTGCACTAATTTTGTGCAAAAGTGTGGTTAGAAGTTAGATGAGTACAACTATATTTATGCAAGTTAAACTAATTTAATTTTAATAAAGTTTATAATGAATAATATTAACATTTATATCGTCAGCAAGATTTATTATAAAAATATAATTTCATAATAATTCAATAATAATTATTTTGTATTATAAATATTAGTATTTTAAAATAATTTTGATCAAACTTCAAATCGTTTGACTTGTCAAAAATCGAGAACTGCATTCTTTTATGGATGGAGAAGTATCCGAGTTATTAAATACTAATAATAAAATAATGGATACTAGTAAGTAGGGCGGTATATGGAGCCAGCTCGGCTCGGCTCGGCTCGGTCCAACTCAAGCTGGCTTGTTAGGCTAACGAGCCAGTATTATGAGCTAGAGGGGCAGCTCGTGACTGAGCTCGAGCTGGCTCGTTTTGCTCGCGAACTACTTAAAAAAATAGGACACACATGTTTTATAATATTTATGCTATATTAATTTCAGAATATGACGTCCACCATTATGCAACCATACATGATTAATACATATTAGGTTCATCAAAAGTATCAACCATGCAACATAGCTGGTCCATCTATGATCATGCAATTTCAGCATACTAACTAGTTGCTTGCCACTACAAACTTAGGAAAATCCACAGATTCAATGTCAGCATCATCATCTTCTCCCTAGAAAATAATCCATAAAATCAACATTTAAGTACCACAACAATTATAAAGTCAAAATTCATATGAAATAGCTGAAAATAAGGATTACATACCAATAGAATAGGAGTACACTTCTAGATAAGCATCATCATCTTCTGGATTCATGGTCGTAGGCTGATAGGCCTCAACTCGTTTTAGCTCGTGAGCAGCTTGCAAGCTGGCTCGAGCTGGCTCGTTAAAATGGCGAGTTAGACTTCTAGCTCAACTCGTAAAAAAGTTAAAATGAGCCAAGTCAAGCCGAACTGAGCCGGCCACGAGTCGAGCGAGTTGACGAACCGCGAGTATTTTGTCCAACCTAGTAAGTGTGTTCACGTGTTGCAATAGGATGTATAAGGAACCGATGTATAATTTATATATTGTTCAGTGTCAGTGCCTATAATAATGAGCTAGCTATTTTTATTGAACTAGCAAACATCCCGTTAGGTTTCAACAGGACATTTAGATGGTTGTGTAGTTACATGGACAACTTGCGGTTGGAGGTTTATTTGGTGATCATATCATGTGTTCCAATTCTTTTAGATTGAACTTTGAACTATGATAGATACATGCTGCTCTAACTTGTATGGGTACATGAGGTTTACCGTCACGACCCAAAGTCATTCCAACCAAAGCCTTCTGTTAGAACCTCCTTGATGACTTTGCATAGTCCTTCAAACACCCAAGGATTACGTTATCATTCTCTCTAAAGAATTCCTAGTGCTCTTTACTAGGGCAAGGACTCCAAATTCGCTAATTAACTTTATCGATTCTCTCAAGTCAACCAAAGTCAATAGGGAGTCAACATTGGTCAACCCAAAGTCAACATCATGAGAATACTCCAAGGAAGATGCTAATCGACATCTATAGCCTCTCTACAAGTGTTTGTCAACTTCTGGGGACATGAATAGGTGGCCCCAATGCCGAGGTCCGTTCTCTAAATCAAATCTCTCAAAGTTAGAGTATTAATGGACCGCCTGTCAGTTCACTAGTTCAGCAGAGTTAAGTTAGGAATGAGCTATCCTCAACTCGCTCAAGGTTGGCCCCACATGTCAGCATGAATGGGAATTGCTAATCTCACCACTCTCCCATTTCTATTCCCTCTCTCTCTCTACAAACAAGAACAAGGATGAACTAGATAGAGGAGATGAAGAGATGGAAGAGAAAGAAAGAAACAAAGAAAAAAAGAAAAGGGGGGCAAGATCAGCACCATGTCAAGTCTCAAGAGCATCTTCATCTCCTTATCCATCGTCCATGGTTAGCTCAAGATCTCTCTCATTCCAATTCTTAAAATCTTCTCTCAAACCCTAACCTTTGATTCTCCATGCATGGATGAAGTATGAAGTTTGGAAGTTGTTCTATCATTTCAAGATTAAGCTCAAGATCATCCCTAGCTCAATCATCTTATGAATCTCTCTAATTGCTCTCTAAGCATTTTTATGGATTTTTGCAAGAAATGCCATGAATAGCCAAACCCATCTCTTTTGCTTTGGAGCAAGGTTGATCAAGACTCCATCTCTGATGTAGGTGGCCTAGAGGTCACCAAAATCTCAAAGTTAAGTTGTCATGCCCAATCTCATGAATTAATCTTTCATTTCTCATGATTAAGTTGATTCTCAAATCACTAGTTGCACATAATAACTAGAGCTCAAACCCTAGCCATCACTAGCCTAGCATGTCACCTAAACAAACCTAGGAACCCCTTGCACATGCAAGGTACACATCACCCACAAGTTAGGCTTGAAACACAAATGAACAATAAGAACGATGAAACACATAGCTTTGTCGATGCACCAACAAAAGCGTCCGTCACACTTCATGGATCATCCATCAACACCACCACTTAGCCAAAAATCATAGCCACACACACTTAGTCTTCACTGTTCTTCATGAGTTCATGAATCGTTCGTGGAGATCCATGGATCATCTGTCAGGAATTAAAATCAATTTCCAGAGAACCTGAGAGCACCCATTTCACCACGGAGCCTCTGTCAAACATAGATCACCCAAAATGACTAAGTCCCAATAGCACAGATCATTTTGTGGAACATTTCGTTGAACCACGGATCATCTGGCAAGTTTAGCGGATCGTCCGTCAATTCACTCAAAGCCCAACCCAAACTTGCTAGCTTCGGGAATAATTTCGACGGATCGTCTAATGAATATTTTAAAGTTAGAAATGTTTAACCCTTAACCCTAGGACCTAACCACCCTATCACATGTCTAGATAAAAATTAGGGCAACACTAATCCATTGTTGGATTTTACATTGGAGCTCTCAATCTCGAAATCACTCTCTTATGCTCTTTATCTCTCGTTCCAAATCAAGTGAGCTCGCCTCCAACTCGTTCGATGTCCTCTCATAGTAGGATGTGAGGAACGTTTGTGAGTAGTCATGATCACCCTTGGTCATCAGGACTCCATGATAGGCAGGCACCACTACTATTACCCTACTTTGGATACTTATTGTGGTTCATTATGTTGTGTTTGCTTTCATTTAGAATGATGAACTACTTAATCATGTCTCACTAAGTTATACCAACTCACTTAAGTTAATCATAGACTTTACCTAACCAACGAGTTTGGGTCGCTTAATTGCTTAGTTGGCTAGCTTCATTAGAAGTCGAGTGTGAGTGGGTACTCACTCCCACACGTGTAGGAGCTACACCGGGATAATTAATTACTTAAAACTTGCAAGGGTGTGTCAACTTGACTCAATTGACTCAATGTGACTAAGGACCAACATTAATTTGAGGTAATTAATCAGTGATCAATTTGGTAACCTCTACTTAAGCGAAGGGTACGGTCACTGTGAGTATCGTTGGATCTCAAGTGACGTAGCTCATGGAGTAGTTAAGGATCGTGCATGGGATAACGAGTTTGAGTAAACCACCCGTACAGACCACATATCGCTTATGGGGGAGCTAAGCTAAGTTTACTTAGTGGTGACTCACTTATCGATGGATTTGGCGCGAGGGGTGACATGATGTAGATGTGATGGTATTACATCGATACCCAGTCAATCGTTCGTCGATTTGATAGCCATGTTGAGGAAAGGTTGGAACGATAAAGCAGCCCTTATCTAGGCACGGGTATGGAGGTTCATCCTTGGTGTCCATGTGGGTGCATTTGTACACCTCTGTAGAGATCTTTTCAAAAGACTAAAGTCCTTCGGGATGGAACTATTTGGTTGTTCTTACTCCTAGACTCAATGTAGTGTTGATGATGAAACTTGATAAAGAGATAACTTAAGATGGGGATCACTTAATATTACTCTTTGATAATATTTGTTAATGTTATTATACTTGTTAAGAATCTAGTTATGAATCATGCGCATATCATTGTTAATAAATACCATACTTTTTATGCAAAGATACAAATGTCTGTTAATCCCTGCATCCACCAACTATTTATGTTAGTGGTGATTGCATATGATTGTTGTTGATACTTCTTAATGACTAGTGGAGGGATTCTGCAAGCACATAGAACTATCGCGTAGCACTTCGCTCGATGAGTACTAAGTGTTGAATTTATATTTTCCCAAAGGAAGGCGGAAGGCTGATTTATATTTATTATTTAGGATTGCTAAAGGAAAGCCTGATGTATCCTAAGTGGTTAAACGAAATGGTGGTTGTGTGTAAACTAATGAGGAAACTAAAATAACAAGCTAAACTAGAGGTAGGATAGCTAGGTGGGAGAGCGAGCAATTTATTTTTCAGTAACAAAGGGAAAACAAATGACTAGGAGAAATACGCTAGTACTTCGGATCACAGCCCGCCTACCAACTCGGAGAGTTAAATAGACAAGGTCTGCCACGAGCCCTACGATTTAATAACTAGACCTAACATGGTGGAATACAAAGGATGGACAAGGCTATCACCACTTGCCAACTACCACAATCTATCTAGAGGCCTAGCCATATCCACAGGTAATTTATTGCCTAAGCACCTCATTTAATCTACAAACTTACTACTTCGATCCGAGCTCTGATGAAATGAGATCAAAACATCATAACCAGGCGGTAGAACCGATAC